AACCCGCTGCACTGACGGTGCGCCCTCTGCTGGCAACAGGGAGGAGGGAGCAGCTGCGTCCCCAGCCTTTGTTAAAGCAGGACCGACCCTCCCCTCCAGCTCCCAGGCCTACACACACGGCCATGGACGTCCATGGGGGGAAATAGGTCAACTGTCCTCCTCGTGGGACCAGGGCTGGTTGTGGGGTGAGGCTGGGGCTTCCTGTGACCCCGGGCCCCTCGTGGGGTCTGTGATCACAGCACATGCTGCTCCCCAAACTGGGCTGGGAAGCACCCCACGGAGACACCTTCTGTTGGCGACAGTGTGGACCCGGGAGCCTGGGGCTGGAGAGACGTGGAAGCAGGAACAGTGAAGCTGTGTCACTCCCACCCCCAGGTGTCCCGAGGGGACAGTGGTCCTGCAGCAGTGCAACTCCACGGCGGACACGGTGTGTGGCCCGCCCGGCCCAGGTGAGAGGGGGTCCTGTTGTTAAGGGGTCTGTCTGAGGAGAGGAGACCCCGTGACCCGGGGGAGCCGTCTGACGGGGACAGTGCCGTTCCCGCTCCTTCCCATCAGCCCTGGGACCAGCAGCGCGCCCCTCCCCCTCGGCCCCCAGCAACCCCGAGTTACTTTCTGGGACGGACCCTCTGTTCAGGACGGGTCACAGACACAGAATCCAGTGACATGTGGCCTGTGTGCCTGGCTTCTCTCCTTCATGCTCGTGTCCCCAGCCCCTGGGTCTCAGTAGGACCTGCCAGGGCGTCACCTCTCTGTGTGGCCGAGGGACACTGAGACGTAGGTGCAGACAGACACGCGTGGTGGTGTTCACTGTCCTGCTCAGGGACTCGGGGACATTTTTAAACAAACAGACCCTGAGCCCGGACTGTTCTGTGACAAGGACAGCTTTTCAGTCAGTGGTGTTGGGGACCCTGGACGTCCCCAGGCCCTGGACGAGTTGGGTCGTCATGTCACAGCAGACGCAGAAACTAACTCACAACGACCCAAAGACCCACCTGTATGGTCTGAAGATGACAAAACCCCTGGAGGGCAGAGGGGACGTCTCACAACATTGGGTGGTGTTTGGGCCCCACGTGACATGGGGTCACCTCAGGGGTGTGTCTCTGAGGGTAGTCTCACCTATCCCCTGTCCCCCGGTGTGTCCACGGTCCTACAATGGCAGGGGTCCTCCTTCCTGTGGCGACGGGTTCCAGTGGGTGCCTGTGCGTGTGTCTGTGGGCACACGTGGACTCGGGCTGCAAGGGCGGGGCGCGCTCCGAGTTGGAGCCCCCGGAGGAGAGTGAGTGACAGCCCGGGCTGGGGGCGGTCCGGGCGCTGCGGGAGGACAGGGCCGGGCCCCTGCCAGGTCCTCCGGGTTCTCCCGCTGAGCCCTCAGCCCCCCACAGGGTGACCAGAAGGGAGAACAGCCTGGAAGCCATCTCGGTGCCATCCCTGCTGCACCCCGGCCTCTGGGGCTGAGGGACGGGCCTGGTAGATTTGGGGCCCTAAGGCGTCATTAATCACCGTCAGCTCCGTCTCCAAGGTCCCCCTGGCCTGGCACAGGGGTGTCTGGCAGGGCCATGGGGAAGATTCGGAGGCCTGCTGTGCTAGAGGGTGCCGGCTGTTCTGGGTGCAGAGACATAGTGTTCCTGGAAGGTTCCAGAAGTTGTGGAACTGGAAAACCGGGGAGGGGGATGGAGGACACCCGGCCCCCTCCTGCAGCTTCCTGGCGGGGTCCTTGGTCTGCGGAGGGGTCCGTCACCTCCCAAGCCATCCCGTCACAGAGAGGACCCTCCTGGCAGCCTCCCGTGACCACACTCCTCTGTCTGTGCCCACAGGACCCCGGGACCAAGGAGAAAGCCTGGTGAGTGCCCCCTGGGGTGGGGGCAGCTGTGGTCCTCCCCGAGAACTGCTCAGGCCCTGACCCGGCCTCCTGTCCAGGGCCGGCCAGCCCCACCTGGGGAGGAGGCCGCACCCCCTCCAGGGGCCCCTCTCTGCCCGACTGTCGACCGAACAGGAGCCCAGGGCCCAGAGCTGGGGGAGTCTCAGACCCTGGTGGGGTCCTGTTCACAGTGGGGAAACTGAGGCCCCAACAGTCCTCTCGGGGCCTGGACCGAGGCCAGGGGAGCCAGCAGTGAGGGCAGAGCTGAGACCAGAGCCGGCCCCCTGAGCCTGGGGTCCTGGGCCCCTGTCCTTAGGGGCGGCCCCTGTGCTGAGCCCCCTGAGGACCCCTGCTTGTGTTTTCAGGCCCCTGAGAGCTCAGTGTGCTGCAGCTCATCGCATGGGACCCGAGAGGCAGACCCTCCGGGCCCCACAGGGGACCGAAGCCTGTCTGTGTGCAGCCCCGGCCCTGGCTGGTGTGGCGCAGTGGGCTGAGCCCTGGCCTGGGAGTCGCCGGTTCGGTTCCCAGTCAGGACACAGGCCAGGTCCCCAGTTGGAGCTGCATGAGAGACAACCACGTATCTCTCAAACACTGCAGTTTCTCTCCCTGTCCCTCTTCCTCCCTTCCCCTCTGTCCCCTTCCTTTTCCCTCTCTCTACAAGAGGAAATAAATAAAATCATTTAAAAAATTAAAGACTACTGGTACTCAGAGTGGAGCCTGAGGCCCGGTGCTCCCCAGCACCGTGGAGAGCTGGTCACCTGTGGGTGGCCCGCAGGTGCAGGGGTGAAGACGCTGTGCCCTCGCTGCTCCCTGGGACCTGCGCCCGCATGTGGGGTCGTTCAGGAGATCCCAGGACCTGGAGCCGGTAGGGCCGTCGTCCGGGACTGAGGCAGCTGGGCCCCGGGTCGACCTGCGGCAGGAGCTGGGGGTGGAGCACAGCTGCCCTGCACCCGCCTGGGAACGCTTCCCCTGGGCCCAGCGGGGCCCCGCTCTCTCCCGCACTTGCTGGATCAACGCCGCGGCAATACCTAGGCACGCGGCGTCTGCCCTCCGCTCCATGGCCAGTGCCACAGGTGTGTGTGTGCGCCTGTGCGTATGTGTGCATGTGCACGTGTGTGAGCACCCGCACGCCTAGGTGCACACGGAGCCTGCACTCAGCTGTGACCATGTCCTCCCGACTGATGCCCCATTTTCCGGATTTTGTGCCCACGTCCTGGGTCCCCCGCAGTGTGGGGACAGGTGTGTGCTCTGGCCTCTGGAATAAAGGAACACACCCACCGTCTGTCGTCTTCTTGGGGGAGTTCTGGAAAGGAGGGGCGTGTTCCTGGGCACAGACTCCGTACCAGCAGGGGCTGTCTGAGGCTGGAGGGCCCAGGGCAGGGGTCAGAGTTAATGAGGATGGAGGGGGCCTTGGGGAGGGTGGGCTGCAGTTATCGGGGAGCAGCAAGAAGCAGGCCCAGGAGGCAGAGGTCTGATCATCTGTCTGATAAGACCGCTGAGGGCACAGAGTGGCACTGCCTGCTGGGACACTCTGGGGCACCACAGGCCTAGGTGTCCCCGAGGTCCACAGTGCCTGGTCCCTTCCTCCCACGGACTGCCCCTCCCCCTCCTGCTACCCTGGCCCGTCTCCTGCTCTCGTTCCTCCCGGGACCACCGTCCCCCAGTGCTCCGTCCCCCAGGGCCAGAGTGGGTCGGCCTGCCTCTGCTGGGGCAGCCCGGGGTGCCAGTGAGGGAGGGTGGGGCAGTGGGCACAGACCCCATAGCCCTCTGCAGAGGGAGGCTGTGGCCCCCGCCCACAGCTCAGGAAAGACGGGGGAGAAGCGGGAGGGAGGAGGGCACAGGAGGGACCCTGGGGGCCCGGACGTGCATGTGTTTCCCCCTGACCCCCCAAGGCCCAGGGCAGGACGGGGTGGGACAGGGTCCGCTCACTGGTGGGCACTTGGCCTGCTCCCAGCACTGGGCTCCTGTAAACTGTGCTGCTGTGAACGTGGCGGGCAGGGTGCTTTTGGATTGGGGTTTCGGGGTTCCTAGGGTGTGACCCCGGCAGGGGGGTCACTGGGTCAGAGGCAGATCCCCCGTCAGCTCCCCAGGACCCCCACACTGTTCCCACGGGGGCGGTGCCCGTCTGCCCCCCGCCCGCAGGGCACAGGGTTGGCTCCCTCTACCCCCCACCCTGCCCGCCCCTGCAGCCTGTGGGCGCGCTGGTGCGGCTTGCTGGCCGGCGGGAGGCGGCCCCTCGCTGCTGCCGGACAACTCTGACCTGCGGGCACACCTGCCCGAGTGTGCGGAGGTCCCGCTGGGAACGACCTGGTTCCTTCTCCGGTTGGAAGGGGACTGGAGGAGGGGAGCCCGGACTTCCTGATGCAGCATTTAAAGTCTCACACAGTCCACTGGTGCCCAGTTCTCTGAGTGCAGAGCCTTCCTGAGTGGACCCCTCAGAGGGAGGCCCCTCGTGTTCTGGGGGAGGGGTGAGGGGGAGGAGAGTGAGCCCGGATTAAATTCCTTGTCCCAGGAACAGCACAGACCTGGGCTCTCCGGACCGCACGGACCCCTGCTGCAGAGTCAGATCGTGTCCCTCCTTCCCGGGCATCGCTGGGGCTTTGTCGCAGGCAGCGCCTCCTTGCAGCGCCCCCGGGGCCAGCGGACATGCAGGCTCATTGGAACTACACGGCAGCGAGCACACTGTCCTCACTCTCCATCTTCTGCGGTCCTGCACCCTCTCCCCTTACCTCCGTGTTCACGGGGGGCTGTTTAAGAATCCCTGTCTTTTTTTTTAGATTTTATTTATTTATTTTTTAGAGCAGGGAAGGGAGGGTGAGAGAGAGAGAGGGAGAGGGAGAGAAACATCAATGTGTGGTTGCTGGGGGCCGTGGCCTGCAACCCAGGCATGTGCCCTTGCTGGGAATTGAACCTGCGACACTTTGGTTCGCAGCCTGCACTCAATCCACTGAGTTACGCCAGCCAGGGTAAAAATCCCTTTCTTATCAATCAATGAATAAATCTATTTCCAAATAGTATAAAAATAAAATAAAATAAAATCCCCTTTCTTGTCATTTTAGGGTGGACAACTAGCAGGCACCAGATACTTTTTTTTAAAGATTTTATTTATTTATTTTCAGACAGAGGGTAGTGGAAGGAGAGAAACATCAATGTGTGGTTGCCTCTTGCGTGTCCCGCACCAGGGAACCTGGCCCGCAACCCACACACGTGCCCTGACCGGGAACGGAACCTGTGCCCAACCCACTGAGCCACCAGCCAGGGCCAGATTCTTTCCCTTAACAAGGTATGTGGCAACCTTGTTCATGTATTTTCACATTCTTGGCTAATACCCTTCTCAGTAGCCCCACGCAATTTCATACTTGGACGAGCAGTGATGCATCTAGTCACCATGACTTTCCGGACATGTGGATTCTTCTCCTTTCTCACGATCACGAAGGTCCATGTGATGACATCCTCGTGCCTCTGACTGTGCTCCGAGGGCTCAACGTGACCCCTAAACTCGGCGGCCGGCGTGGAGGGCGGGTATCAGTCCGCGCTTCGGACCCGCAGGGGCCTCGGCCACCCGTCCTCCCCGAGGAAGGCTGGGAGGAGAGCCCGAGGAGAACGGCTCCTCCGGCCGTCGTGAACTCGCTCCCGGTCTCTCCCCGCAATCAAACAGGAGTGAGAGACTTTCCTGGGTGAGGTGGGGGGCATGGGGGGGGGGGCGTTCCCAGACGTCCCAGGCAGTAACCCCGCTGCTCGTGTTAGAGTCCCTGCGGCCCCAAAGCGGGTCTGCCGGGCAGTCTACGGGCAGGGGCCTGGGACACGCGGAACTGCACGTGTCATGTATACATGTGATGGGTTTGCACACGTGTGTCCTCCCGCGGTACTACCACCACAGGGGGTCATGAACAATAATTGTGACATCTGAACATTACCTTTTCCTTTCCTCTTTTTCAAAGTAAGAATGCTTTACATGAAATCTACCTTAACAATATATTTTTTTAAAGTTTTATTTATTTTCAGAGAGGGCGAGAGGCAGAGAAACATCAGTGTGAGGTTGCCTCTCCCACGCCCCCTACTGGGGACCTGGCATGTGCCCTGACTGGGAATGGAACCAGCGACCCGTGGGTTCCCAGGCCAGCACTCAGTCCACTGAGCCACACCAGCCAGGGCCTAGCGACATTTTACGCGCACAATACCACGTTGTTAACTACAGGTACTACCTCCTAGGTCGCCCCGAGTCTCTTCTTGCTGCACTCTACACACTCTGGACAGGGGGGCCAGACTCCACTGAGGAGCCAGAGGTGGCGGCCATGTCAGTAACGTCGGAAGGGTCCAGCTGCTTCTGCCCAGCTGCTTCTGCAGGCACACAGGGCCACCGCCCTCTGCCTGGGCACCTGCGGGCTGTGTCCTGGGAAAGGACAGTGGCCGGGAGACGCCCCAACGTGAGGATCCGGACAGGGAGCCTGTCAGTCATCCATCCCTCCTAGGCAGGCGTGTACCCTGAGTCTCTGGCCATGCCAGCCAGGAAGCCAGCCCACCAAGACCCTGGAGGACTCAGGCCCGACAAAACCAGGGTGACCCCTGTCTGACCCGGGGCCAGCCCCTCAGGCTGGGGTCTCCCCTCGAATGCCCCGTTGTGAACAGTCACCGTGCTCCTAGGAGCAAACCGCCGTCCTAGTAATCCTGGACCCCAAACCACAGGGACTCATTCCCAGAATCTGGTGCGCTTGGTGGGACTGACAGTCCTGCCCCACCCCGCCCCGCCCCTGCTTTGCCGAGGGAAGAAGTCCGGTCGCTAGGCAACCGCCTCAGGCATCAACACCACCATCCCAGGGCATGACAGCGTGGAGGGAGGCGGGCCTAGGGGGCTGTGCACACAGGTCGGGGAGGGACATGGGACAGTCCCATCCTGTGGGACTGGGAAGAGGGCTGAGCTGCCTCTGGGGATGATGCCCAAGGGTCTGAACGGGACAGGCTGGCTGGAGTGGCATGGACTTCGCTGAGGGGCTGCGTGGGAGCTGAAGGTGTTCAGTGCCATTCTCCAGACGCTCCCGCAGCCGCATCTCACAGAGGGCCGCCACGAGCCTGCAGGGGGACGCAGCATGCCCCAGCTCGCTCTGCCCGCACGGCAGTGTCCTGTGGGGCTGCTCCGCCAGGGTCCCCGGGTCCGCGTGCTCACAGATGACAAGGTCGTTCTCCTCCAGTCCCGCGAACCTCATGAACATCGTCCAGCTAGATTCGGGAACCTCCTGCCCAAATTCAAAGTAGATCCTGTTCGTGGCTGAAAAGAGAAAATCACGGAGGGAGACTTGGCCTCGTCCCTGGGAGGCAGACGTGGCGTGTGCTGTGCGCTGTGACGGTCCCGGCTGGCAACCAGGTCCAGGGTCTGCAGGAGGCCCTGGGCGCCCAGGCTGCCCTCGCAGAAGGGACCAGGCAGGGGGACAGGAGAGCGCGGTAGGACACGACCCGGCCGGGCTCCTGACAGGCCTGACGCTCATTCACACGGAGCCAGGGAGCCCGGCAGAGGGGCCTGCGGGGCCGGAGGTGGGGAAGCCCCGGGGTGATCGGTCCACTGAGGCGGCCCCCTCGTGACCAGCGCGACCAGAGCAGCTGTGCGGGCAGCAGGGGCGAGGTCTGTAACCTCGCTGGGCTCCCGACTGTCTGACCTTTGGATCTGCCACATGGGGGGTCTCCCTGAGCTGTCGGAGGACGAGAGTACAAGCAGCACGCGGCCTGTGGCTGGTGCCGCAGGAAACCCTCACCCCAGTCCCACTGACAGCAGCACCGCAGCCCCGGGGCCTCACCAGGCCTGGGTCACCCAGGCCCTCCTACCGGCCACTCACGTTCCTGCTCAAACCCGTGGATGCGCAGTAACGCAGGGCCGCCTGCGTCTGTCCTCACGGCCAGAACTGACACTGGACGGAGGCCCGTGTGCCCTCATGTCTGCAGTGAGTGTCGGACCGCGAGTCTGATACCCACGGGACGTCCCTGAGCTGCCTGGGGGCCCAGGGTCCCGCTTCCCAGAAGGGAGGATGTTGGGTCATGATGTCACACCTCAACAGTCACTATAAGGGAAGACCTTGGGGGACCCACCCTCAGGGGACCCGTCCTTCAAAACAAACTTTTCTTCATATTGCTGCAGAGAGAAGGGAATAAAACTTTCAGGAGGAGACTCCGGGGCGGCTTCCTAGTGGAATCTGCGGAAACAGCCGCCTGAGTTCGGGTGGGCGGGGCCGGCGGGGGCAGCGGGGCCTCCACACGCTGTCCAGTCAGTGTCTGGGGACGGGGCCCGGCCTCTCAGAAGGGGCAGAGAGCTCACAGCCCAGCCACCCACTGGGTCACACTCCCCAGGACACGGCCTGGGCCGGGGCAACACTGGGCTTCCCGCTGCCCTGCCCTGGAGGGACCCCAGCCTGCACTGGACGCTGGACAGGCTCCGCACCCTTCTGACACCCTGTGCACACCGTCCCCCTTCCTGAAGGGTCCCACTCCCGAGGGTCACATAGGGAATATCTGGTCATCCCGTCAGGTCCTACTCAGCTGTCACGGCCTTGATAGAGCCCCCGATGGAAGGAGGACAGTGAGTGTGCTCCGGACACGGGTGGTCATGGCGCCTGTGTCCGTCCCACAGGGACACGCAGTGCCCTGTCTGCGCCTTGCCTCCAGCACCCATGGTCGCCAGGCCTACCCACTCCTGATGACACACGGGAGGCGCTGGGGCTGGGAGACCTCGGGGGCCAGTGCGTGGTGGAGGCTGAGGGCACAGAGCCGGCGACCCGGGCCTCCTCCAGGCAGTGCCCTCCCAGTGCTGGGACCTGGGAGAGCTCGGTCCCTGGGTCTTGGTGGCCCCGGGGAGCCACCATTCCCTTGGACAGCAGGTGTGGTGGAGGCTGTCACAGGCTGCACTGTGTCCCCAAAGATGTGGGCGTCCTAAGCCCAGCAACCAGGAGTGCGGCCTTGTCTGGGAACTGGGTCGCTGTAGGCGTCACCTGTCCAGATGAGGCCCTAACACAACAAGACCAGTGTCCTCTTTTAGGGACACGGACTCGCACACGGGGACAATGCCACGGGAACCTGAACATCTGCCCCCAGGACAAGGAGACAGTAACATTCTGTCCTTGAAGCTGCCTGGTCTGTGGGGCTGTGTCTTGGTCATCCGGGAAACTTGGACACGAAGTTAGGGCACACAGGGCAGAACTGCGCACGCCCTGCACGGACACAGTGCGTGTGCCAGACACAGGTGTCCTTGCTGTCACACCTGCCCAGAAGCCCCTCACCAGGTCTGAGGTGTGTAGGGGGATCTGTGCCCCCCCCAGAGGCACCTGGGTTTGCAGCGCCTGCTGTGGGGTGGCCCTGCCCCCTGCGGGGACCACCGACTGCACCTCGACACTGGCCTCAGAGTCCTCAGGGGACCGCACGGCTGCGCCCTGCTGCTGCAGCAGGGGTCCGGTGTCCGTGCTGGCAGCTGGTGGGCCCCGCTCTGCATCCTTGGGCAGCAGATTCACCCTGGGCCGGGTGCCTCCCTGTGACTGAAGAAGAAAGCTGTGACTTTTGGTGGCAGGGGCCTGCAGCGCAGCCCTCCCAAACCACTTCAGGGGAAATGCCACCTCGTCTGGCAGCTCAGCTGGGGCCGTGCGGTAGCAGGGAAAAGTACTTTGTGGGGTCACGTGCAGGGTGGCCCCCCAACTCTGCAGGGAGTCTGAGACAGGTGGGCTGTGGTTGAACCCAGCAACACAGGTCTGCATCCAGACCCCTGGGACCTGGGAGTGCGGCCTTTGCAGACGAGGGAGCCGTACTGGACGAGAGTGGGCCCTACGTCCAGTGCCCACTGAGGGTCATCGGGAGACAGACCCATGGGGAAGAGGCCGGGTGAGGACCGAGGCCCGTGCTGACTGATGGGCGCTCACACCCAGGAGCACCCAGGACAGCTGGTCACCGGAGACGAGGTGGGCCCAGGGGCGGGCGGGACCTGCCCCCAGGGCCTTGGAGGAAGCTGGGCCCCCTGACCCCCGACCTAACACCTGGGTCAGACTTGTGGCCTTCACATCCGGGACACGGTCAGTTTTGTGTCTTTCAGCCCCGAGTTGGGGAGGACGTTTCGCAGCCCCGGGAAGCCGTACAAGCCCCGTGCCCTCTGCGCCCCCCTGTGCACCCCGAGGTCTAGGCCAGCAGAGTGGGGTCTTCCCCAGCACGGCCGCTCCAGGCTCTAGTGGGGGGAGCGGACGGTGCCCGAAAGGCTGAGCTGCGCACACTGGGGAAGCGCAGGGACGGGGATGGGGGCGTACTGAGCTGGTCCTGCAGCGTCTCTGGACATAAACAGAAAAAGGAAGTCCGGACAAGGGGATGCAGAGGAGGATCCGGGGGATGGGCGTGGGCAGGGCAGGGAGGTCGTGACCTCCTGCAGCTGGGCCTCACCTTCGGCGCTTCCCCCGCCCCCCCCCCGAAGCTCAGAGCCTGCTGCTTCCTTCTCACCTCATGCTCTCTCTCCTCACCCTGAGACGGGGCCTTCTTCCTTCTCCAGTGTCGCCACAGCAAGTACACCGCCGCCACCACCAGAGCCACAATAAACAGCACCAGCACGAGCACCACCGTCCGAGGCTGTGTGTCCCTGAAGAAGGAGCCTGCAGAGGAATGGCGACAGCCCCTGAAGGGATCTTCTGTCCCCAGAGCGCCCAGACTCTCACTGCCACACAGTCAGGACGGTTTTCCTGAAACGTCTCCCCCCCATGGGATGAGAGGGAGCATGAGGACGCACACACAGTGTCACTGACGTCCCCTCTGCACCCCGCCCCCCACTGACTATCTGCCCCCCACTCAGTCAGCGGAGTCAGGTGACGAAGAACGGACTCGGGCTGGGGGCCTGGGTTCCAGTCCCGGGTCTCCTGCCCAACCAGCGCTGTGACCTTGAACTAATGACGTAACCGTCTGTTGCTGCGTCCTGATCAGTGAGAGCATTCAGTTAGTGCTTATGCAGTGCCTGACGCAGGGTGAGTGCCACGCAGGTTTCATTCGGTTTTGAAAACTGAATAGTTTATTTCATCTTCTTTATAGTGGAAACAGCCCCTATGCAGCTGCTGTGGATGCTGTCCGTCCCGTCCCTGTGTCTCGGTCACTGCCCGCTCCAGCACAGCGAGCAGGCCCGTGTCTCTCCTGCAGGGCAGCGCCCACTGCACACCGGGTGCCCTCCAGTGGGCACACCGAGGTTCTGCCCTTTGTCCCGGGGTCACTGGTTTGAAAATACCCGGTCACAGGGGTCACGTCCCACCGCTGCAGGCTGGCCCATCGGGTGGTCCCCAGAAGTGGGTTTGGCATCAGTCAGTGAGCAGTTCGGGTGCAGACGGCCCTGCGCCCCCACAGCACGGGGGCCGACCCCCACCAACACCATCCAACACGGGGAGCACAGACGGCTACGGGGCTGTCTCCCCCACAGCCCGCCACCAGAGGGCGCCCACCCCCTCGTTTGTCCTGCTGCTGCCAAATTCACAGGGGGAAATAGTTCCCTGTTCCAGGAATTTGTCATCCTCCTGGGAGTTTTACCTTCCTGGGAACTGATGATTCCCATTTTTGCTCTTTGATCCACCGTGTCCTTTATGTTGTAAGGACATTAGCGCTTTCACTAAGATTTGGGGTGTACCTATTTCCCCTCCTGGTGTGTTTGCTGAACTTTCCCGTCTGTCCCCACGTCCCACTGCCTGGATCCGTGTGTGGCAGGAAGAGCTCAGAAGGTGTCTGTGACATGAACCGCTTCAGGGGAAGGGGACCCAGGTCTCTGCTCTGTGCCCTCAGTGCCCCGCAGGGACCAAGGTTAACAGCAGACCCCGCACCTTCTGTGAGGGGAACCTCAGAGCCCAGGGCAGGGGGCAGGGACCTCACCTGCGATGGAAAGCCTGGCTGACCTCTCCTGGCCCAGCAGGGGATTTCTGATGACACAGGCGACCCCCTCCCCAGAGCCGCCTTCCAGGATCACAGAGGCTGAGGCTGCATAAAGGCCCTGGGGGTCTGCAGCCTCGATGACCACCTCAGCAGACAAGCTGTGTCCCCTGGCGTCTCTCCACTGGATCTGGGGCTGCGGGTACCAGCCGGCAGACGTGCACTCCAGACGGATCCCTCCAGCCTCGTAGGCCTCCATGTCAATGTGGGTATCAAAGCCCAGCGCTGGGGAGGAGAAGTGAGCTGAATCGTGGGGAGCCCTCTGTACTAGAGGGGTCTCCACAGCAGGGAGGGGCACCCACACTGAAGAGCCCAGCAGGGACTCACCAGGAGCTGCTCCCAGCGTGTGCTGTGCAGCAGAGACTGATGCCCGATGGGGCCACTGCCTGACCCTGGCTGGACCCTCGTGCTGGATCCAGGGGGCTCTGGGCCAGAGCAGAGGCTGCTTCCCCCAAGTCCCCTTAGAGACTGCTGCAGGCTCCCCTCCCCCCTGCCCCAGACAGGCTGGTCCCTGGCAGAGCCTCTCACCCCTTCCTGGGCAAGCATGGAGGTGGTGCACCTTAGCCTTAGTGGGTCGCACCCCACTGCCCCTGTCCGTGCTGCCTGTCCTGTTGGGGTCTTGCCCACCCGTGAGGAGGAGACACGTGGTGTTCTGCGGCCGCCCGAGCAGTGACTCGAATGCACGGCCCCTCGGGAGGCTCTTGCTGCCCTTACTGGCAGGCTGCTGGGCTCTCCTCCACGGTCTCCCCCCAGAAGTGTCCACAGTGAGGCTGTGCAGAGGGGAACCTTTCCCATGGAAGACAGCGGACCCGGGGCCAGGAAGAGGGGAGTTACTATCACCTGCCCCCACGCCCCTGAACACAAAGAGGGGGAGGCAGCCCTCTGAGGACCTGAACACACAGAGTCCTGCAGGGAGGGCTCTGTCGGGGGAGCCGAGGACTCCAGGAAGTGACAGCAGGCTGAGGAGGAGCCGTGCGGGGACAAGGCCAGGGGGCCGCATGGTCCCCGCACCAGCAGCCCCCACGCACTGGAAGCCACAGGGCAGGGCTGTGTCCGGGGAATGAGAACTGCAGCCCTGATGCCCGGACACGAGCACTTTCATGGGGCAGCACCTGAGACAAGGTGCTTCGTCACTGGGGTGGGTCAGGGCCACGTCAAGGCCACTCAAGGGTGGGGTGACAGCACAGAGGAAACAGGAACCGTGTGCAGTGACCCACCTCCCTGTGCCGGCTGTGACTGACCAGTGACACCCGCACCATCCTGACCACGTCCCACCCAGAGCCCAGCGCTGCCTCCACATCCCCCCGAACCGCACCGAGTCCTCCCTGACGCCCCCTCTCTGAGTCACCCCTGTGTCCCCGTCCCCAGGGGAGCGTCCTCCCTCACTACACCGAGGACGGACACAACCTGTGCAACTGCAGCTGTGTTCCCAGGGGTTTGGTGGGGGACGTGGGCCCCACAGGAGTTGTCCCTGCAGGTCAGAGCCCTGGACTCACAGCAGCAGGCCCCTGGGGCCCCACGGCCTTGGTCTGGATCACACTGAACCCAACACCCACGTGCCACCCGCTGCGGGGAGGTGTCCTCCTCCTTCCCGTCCCTGACCTGCACTCCCCTGGAGAGACTGGTGGGCGGTGTGGGGGACTCTGTACTGGGTGCCGGCGGAAGTCACCCTGGGGGACCCCTGGGTGTGTCACAGGCCTCACGGGAGCAGAGATGGAGGTGGGGGGTGGATGCTGGTGAGCAGCCCACGTGCTCTGGGGTAGGTCTGCAGCCTCTGCCCCCACCCAGGGAAAGGAGCCTGGAACAAGCCTGAGCCTCACCTGCCACCTGCAGCTCCACCTGGGCTTTTGCATAGAAGTCTCCGTCTTGGAAATAACACAGGTAGGTTCCGTTGTCTGAGACCCTGACATTGTGAATCCGGAGAGCGGCCTTCCCCGCAGTGACGTCCTCTCTTATAATTGAAGTTCTCCCTCCAAACTCTTCTGCCGGCGTGTCCTCCTGCCCGTGTGCGTACACGTGCACTACCTGCCTGTGGCCGGGTCGCTCCCACATGAGCTGCAGGGTCTCAGCGCTCATCTTCGGGGACAGGTGACAGGGCAGGTCTGAGTCTTCACCCACCATGGCCAGGATGGGCTTGGGGGGTCCGACCACAGCAAACTCAGCTGGTCATCAGAAGGGGGGCTCCGTCAGAGTGAGAAGGCCCAGAGGGCCAGGGGGTGACCCAGGCAGGGAGGGTGAGGTGACAGACACCTACACGGGAACTCAGTCCTCACACAGGTGCGGTGTGGACGGGCGTTGCAGGGGTGGGCGGAGTCCCGGGTTGTGACTGGGCCCAAAGGGAAAGGATTCACACACACAGACTCACAGCCGGTCCTACCTGAGCAGGGGCTGAGCAGCTGGACCACGGCGAGGCACACAGGGAGGGCAGGCAGTCGGAGCACCAGGCACCTCCCCATCCTGACCTGCTGTGCACAGAGAGAGGGCAGCAGGGGCTGGGCAGCAGGGACCACCTGGAAGGAGGAGGAGGGTTCCACGTGGAGAGGCTGCCTGCCCAGGGCCAACCCGGGCACCACCGCCATCACTGGTGACCCGAGAGCCTCCTCCGCAAATGTCCCCTGGGGGTCTCTTCACCTTGGATCCCACCGTGGAAATCAGCCATGAAACATGGACCGGTAATGCAGGTACCTTATCCCTCACCAGTAGGGAGCACCGGGCTCTGCTGTGGGAACCTGCTCAGTAGCCTCCCACTGGCGCACACTTCCCTCCCCAGCCAGGTGCCCGCCCCCCAGACCACCCTCTTGAGGAAGGCAGGCCCCTCTGCTCTGAGTCCCTTTTCCCGCCACTGCCCCCTGCAGGCCGCGCTCCGCACAGCAGCCAGCGTTTCCTGCCCCCTCACCTCCCTCCTGCTGAGCCCGTCCCAGGGGGTCCCCTGTCACCCAGAGCAGAAGCCCACGAATGTTGCACCCTGTGCTTTAAAGTACCTGACTGTTTTAAGGGATGGCTATGTTGGGGGGCAGTGATTCAGGGAAGATAAAGACTACTGTCCTCAAAATAAAAATAAATAAATAAAAAATAAGTAAAACTAATAAAAATATCTCAATGATTTAAACTAAAATTTTCCATAGTGGGGAACACATTTCCACATATTTTGAAGGATATTTACTGTTTTTCATTCCTATCACAGACCATGTAAAATATAAAGCATAAAGGAATGAAATTTAAATAGATTAGAATGGTAATTACATCCTGTTTCATGTGAATGTGAACACCTATGGATGCATTTGGCCACATGTACACAAGGGGCGACCCAAAAAGAGAATTTACGTATAAAATTTGAGTTTGTATTCTCACACCTCCAGCCTGCGGTCACCCTCACATGCTCCGCCCTGGATGGGGGACACCCGTGGGGGACGGCCCTCCACCGCCCTGAACACTCTCTGGACTCGGCGGTTCTGACACCTCATAGTGCTTCTGCCGTTTTGTTTCACGTCTTACACGTCGGGATGTTTCCCTTTGTGGACTTTTTCATGCGGGAAAGAAAAACAGTCACTCTGGGTGAGATCGGGGGAGTAGGGAGGGTGGGCACATGGGTTTTTGGTCAAAAAATGCTGAACACTCAGCACAGGGTAGGCAGGTGGGCTGGTAAATCACCCCTCGTGAAATGGCCCAGTGCCCTGTAAGAGTTGTGAAAAAAAAATCAGTAAAGCCCAACGCAGCCTCTCACAACAACGCCAGCCGGTCACTGATGCAGATGGGCTCCTGGAAATTTCTCTCCTAGTGGGTAAGCCTGGACTACGAGGGGCCTGCCCTCCAGAAGGGAATTGCTCGTTTATTTTTTTTCTCCATTTCTGGTTGGGTCACTCCTTGTATAGCAAATACCCTGAAATGTTTTATCCATAGCACCAAAGATTACACTGGCAGGAATTGCTTTTAAAGTGAAACTGGCATTAATACAAAAAATTCACATTTAATTCTGTTCATTATAGTAAAATCTACAAGAGCACAGTGTATAAGTTGCATCCAATTTTGTCATAATTATTTATAAGAACATGTTATTAAAAACATAATTCCTCTCTGGCTGGTGTGGCTCAGTGGATTGAGTGGGGTCTGGGACCAAAGTGTTGTCGGTTCGATTCTTGGTCAGGACACATGCCTGGGTTGAGGGTCAGGTCCTCACTTGGGGGAGTGTAAGAGGCAACCACATACTGATGTCTCTTTCCCTCTCTTTCTTCCTCCCTTCCCCTCTCTCTAAAAATAAATAAAATCTTATAAAAAACCGTAATTCCTAGACACTCCGTGACACAACACGCAACGGTGAGAAGCCGAAAGCTCCCTCTCTCCGATCAGGAGGAAGACAGACGCCCACCCTCACCACCTCCCCGCCCCAGAGCACTGGGGGTCCGAACAACAGCGGTCACGGGAGACAGAGACAAACAGCAAGCAAATCCGAGGGAGGAGGAGCCTTTGCACTGCCCGCAGATGGCAGGACGCGGTACGTAGGACCGTTTGAGGACCCACAAAATCCCGTGAGAACGTGGAAATGAAGGCAGTGAGGTCGCAGGACACAACGTGGACACGGGTGCACTTCCGTGCAGCAGTGACGGGTAACCAGAGGGAGGGGTCGTCAGCCCCTCCTGCGGTTGCGTCCGAAAGCAGAAACCACCCGGGAACAAGGTCAACCAGAGAGCGGACAGCCTGCGCCCTGACGGCTGGAGGAACCGAGAAAGGAGACGAAGAGGGGACACATGACAGGAGACACACACTTAGCTCAGGGTCGGCAGGAGCAACACTGTCACCCCATCCCCGCTGCCCAAAGCCAAGCCCAGACTCAGGCTGTCCTTGTTGAAACGCCAATGACCTTCTCCTCAGAAGGACAACAAGCAATTGTGAAATATATTTATTTCAAATCCCTTGTGGTTTATTCGTCAGTGAGGCAGGCACGTCAGGGGGGAGGCTGCGGCCTTTCTACCTGGCCTGACCCCTGCTCGGATTTAAGTCCCCCCCCCCACCCAGTGCAGGGGACTGTGGGCGAGGGTCACTGCCCCAGTGGCAGGAGTGCGGGGTGGGAAGTTGGCAGAACCCCAGCCTTTGCAGATTGCGGGGCACATAGAGGTACGGGTGAACTCTGTGGGTTCCTCTCTCGACAGCGGCTCTGAATCCCAGGGACCTCAGGGGGACCCTTTCACCACAGATTTCGTGTCATTTTGACAGACACGCATCCTGCTCGCCCCTGCATCCTGTTCACGTGTGACACCTGACCTTGGGGTGATTCCTGGGAGGAAGGTGGTTGCAGGGTTCCAGGGTAGGAACCAAGGGGCCCCCATGCCTCACTGAGCCCACTCACCCTCCCAGCACTCGGCACCCGGCAGGCACACAGTCTCCCGGTTGCGGTGGGTGGTAAAGCAGCCAGTTCGCAAGGGCTGCACTCGGTGACACGGTCCAGGTCTTAGTCTCTGCTGACATGGGAGCCTGTGAAGGGGAGTGCACAGAGGGGATGGTGTGGCCCAGGGCACAGACACAACCTGGTCCCTGAGGCCTCTGCCTGAGGAGGTGCCCCAGCACCTGGCCACCTGTCCCCAGCACAGCAGCAACGCTCAGGTCCTGTCTGCTTGGAACCCTCTAGACTGATTCTCAGCTCCATGTGTCCCAGGGGCTGGGGACCTGACCCACCCTCGGCTCTTCCCGACCTGCTGCAGCTCCGGGAAGGGCGGTGCTGAGTGTGCACGCTGGAGCCTGCGCCCACCCCGCCCCCCAGGTCCACTCTGCAGATTCCGGGTCAGGACTCAGGGGAGGCCAGGTCGTTCATAAATGGGAGTCCTCCCCGTCCCGCCGGAGTTGATTTTTAGTAAATAAAAGACTGGCTTCTTAAATGTCCACCCATCCTGGAAGGGGTGGATTTGGTTTTGGCAACACCAGCAACCCCGCCCAAAGTCCCAGACTCTGGTCCCTGCTCCTCGCCCTGCAGTCCCACCCACACGCCCTGGGCTGGGAGCCACCGCTCCTCCCACCCGCAGCCCCGCCCCCACGCCCTGGGGTTGCAGCCGCTGCTACTGCCCACCCCCACCCGCGTCTGGTCCGGAAGGGGAATAGTGTTGTTGTGTTCCCTCACCCTCTCTGTACAGTAAGGGCTCCGCCCGCCAGGCTCCAGGGAGGCCCGGGCAGAACGTGGACAGTCCCCAGTCCCCCCAGAAAACCGTGGACACCCCAGGTTCCCCTCGGCAGCGTGACCTTCACCAGGGCGCGCAGCTCGAGGGCGGTCCCTGTCCGGGCGCGTTAGACCGGGCACGACGGAACGCGGCCTTGCGTCCCGGTGGAGAATCTGGGGTCCCGCAGGAGTGGAGTCGGGGCCGCCCCTGAGCTGGGAGAATTCCCAACACCAGCCGCTCGGACCCAGTGCGAGGGGGCGGGGAGGGAGCCGGGGGGGGCGTGGCAGGATTCCTCCTGCCCCACCCGGCCCCACCCCGGCCCCAGCCCCGGTCTGAGCTCTCACGTTGCCCGCCTTGTCGTCCAGCCCCGGGCGACGCCGGCCTCGCCCTCCCCGAGCGCCGCGCTCCCACCCGGCACCGCGCCCGCCCGGACGAGGAGCAGCGGCAAAGTCCGGAGAGGGGAGCGCGGAGACCGGAGCGAGCGCCGCTCCGGGGCAGCCGTAGACGCGGGGGTCGGGGTCGTAGTTTCACTTACACGCCAGCCCGCCGCGTCCGCCCGGCCCGAGAAATGGCGGCGGGAACGGCAGTCCGTGGCGGAATGGCTACCCGCCAGGGCGGCTTCAGGGCGACTGCGCCCCCAGAGGACGACGCCATCGCCGCATTTCTTCTGCTGGGGCGGCTCTCTCGAGCGCGCCGGCTCCCTGTGGGTCCCCTGGAGCCACGCGGGGGGAAGGACGTGCTGAAACAGCCTCACCGTTCAGACGGCCGAGGGGCCGATCGTCCGTGAGCCCCGGGGCCTGGGGCTGAGCAGAGAAGCACCGGGATGGCTGCCGGGCTGTTCCCTTTCGGAGCGGCTCCGGGTGGGGGAGGGGCCGCGGCGGGGAGAACCGGGACCACCCGGCAGAGGCCCGGCCCCGTCCTCCCGCAGCGCCTGGAGCGCCCCCAGCCCGGGCTGTCACTCCCTCTCCTCCAGGGCCTCCGACTCGGAGTGCGCCCCTCCGGGGAGCCCTCTGCACACGGGCTGGAATCCTCCGACGTTGGCATCTTGACGTTGGCAATGATGATGATGATCGTGATGCCCAGACAAACCGGGGGAACATGAAACAGCTCCCGAGAAAACCACCGCTGTCTGCGCTCGGACTTCGGGAGAAACAGGAAACGTGTCAGTGAAGTCACAGGCCGACAGAGTTTCCAGCAGACACGGGACCAAGTCCAGACAGACCGACCCCACGAGTGCTCGTGAAGGACGAGAAAACCCTCGGTCGAGGCACCTGCACCCGGCGTCCACGGCACCACGGCTCACAGCAGCACCGCTCACAAGGGGGAGACACAGACCCCCTCAGTGAGAAGCACACAGGGATGTCTCCTGGTGGCCGAGTGTGCCCACAGACACTCACTGGAACCCGTCACCACGGGAAGGAGGACCCCTGTCATCAGAGGACCGTGGACGCACAAGGGGACAGGAACTCCGTGAGGCACTGAGACAGAGACACCCCCCAGGTGACCACATGTCATGTGGGCCACAAACACCACCCAACGTCATGAGACGACCCCTCTGACCCCTCCAGGGGTTCTGTCATTTCCAGACTGTGCAGGTGGGTCTTTGGGTGGTTGCCACGCCCTCCTCCAACCATGTTTTCTGACAAGGTCCGAACGTGGAAAGAGGGCATTCAAGGAATCCATCTTCCTGGAAGAGAGCGTGGCATACAAAGGGGGGCGGTAATTTTCCTGGGGATTGCTCTTACTAATTTCCTTGCTAATATTGATCATGGTCTTACTTTGTACCCTGATTCCCATAAGAACAGGACATGAGGAGAAAGAGGCTCGAAGTGAGTCAATGATTGATTTTGAGGGAAATTCTGAAGGGACAACTAGTTCTCCCCTGACTATGGAATCCTGCCCAAATTGTTTTAAACAAGGAGTTTATAAACCTGAGGAAGAAACTATGCCCGATTGTTCCCATAAAACAATTCATAAATCAGTTACAACAGGTTGAATTATTGGCGGACTTTCCCATGCCTGTTCCTTACCCATAGATACAAAGAGTCTTTCTACAAAACAAGAAAAAAATTATATAGACCCTTACCCACAGCCCAGGGATACCCCTGGGTAACATGTTGGATTAATGGCAAATTATGGCATCCCCAAGAGTAGCTAATAGTCTCCAGACGGTTCCAGATCCCCCATTGCCTTATACAGGAGCATATAATGAGGGTGGCATTAGAACGGTCAGTAAGGATGGAGTCCAAGTGCCTTATAATAGTCTAAATTTCGTGGGAAGGCTAGCTCGAAGCAGACCCCCCTGGTGTTCATTAACTAAGGAACAAAAAAAGTCACTACTCCGCCAGCTTGTCAAAGGATTTTGCCCACACTTCCCCCTATCAGGCAGGAGCTACAAAAAAGAACTCTCTGAACTATCCAAACAAAAATAGAATAAGACATGAGAAAGTCAAGAATGGCCTGTACCCTACAAAATCCAATAAAACTGTCTATCACCTTTAGGTCAAAAGGTTTACTGTGGCTGGATGTCCTGTCTATCTCTCCTTACATGTTTGTTTTGGTGAGCAAAAGGTGGTGGGATTGTCAGACACCTGTACCTCAGGTTCATTGATTCGCATAATTCCAATGAAGTTGTACAAAATAATTTCTTGAGCAGAGAACAAAATCCCCTCTAATGAAATAGCCCCTGAATGTCTAAAAGTTGTTGGAGTAACAGCCCCGGCTTTACCTTAAATAGGAATATACATCAGTAGAATTAGACAGGCAAAGAAGAAAAACTGGTTAGCTATTCCAAACTAAGCACGTAGAAACAGTTACCAGGGAGTCAGAGTCCATGGTGCATAGAGAAACATTTTAGACAGAAAAGATAGATAGCTAAGTTAGACGTCACAAAGGCCTTATAATAAATTTCCTATAACCTCTACTCAATCTAGCATATCCTTTTTCTGAGAACTTTAATAAACAATAAGACATTCAAACTCTGCACATACAGCTAGTTTTAATTGTCTGAGGTCACTAGACTAGCGTGACCTGATATCCAGGTAGAAAATTTCCTGCTTTGCCTAACGGAAAATGTCAATCACTGCCAAAAATGAAAGTATAAAAATCTGCTTGTACTTGCAATAAACGGAACAGAGCTTCACCGTCCTCTGAGTCGTGTTGTCGTCTGTCTCCCATCACTGACGCCTCACCCACTTTTCAGGAACCCCTGGACCCAGCTGCGGCCGGACCACGGCACCCACCAGGGTGGAAGGGGCTGGTGACACGCAGTACATCATCCCTGACTCCCTGAGGGGTGACGCTGACCCTGCTCCCTCTTCTTGTGTGTGTGCGTGGGATTTCCCAGTTTCCCACATGGAACTGAGCACCTTCCCATTTGAACACGCTGACTGAGAATAGACACGGGGCTCAGAATGTGGAACTGAAGTGGCTCTCTGGGTCCTGTCACTTTCCTGCTGTCACACTACGTGGGGACTGACATGGGAGCTGACGGACGTCTCCAGCCGCGTTTCTGGGGGCTGTGACCTCTGCACTGCGGGACCGGGACGTCCCTCCTTCACCCGAAGGCCCCGCTTTCCCCTCACGTGTCTCGGCTGCACCGTGAGCGTCCCTGTGGCCAAGTCCCGAGGCCCGACGTGAAGGTCCGGCCACAGCAGGGTCAGGGGCTGGCAGGTCAAGGTCAGGCAAGGTGCCCGGGGGAGACTCACCCTGGGAGCAGGGGCCACACAGCAGGCAGGACCCCAGGCCGTTGGGGAACTCGGTGAACGTGCCTGGGTCACACTTGTCGCACTGTCCCCGGGTGTGGGGGCGGCTGCAGGGTTCACGGACATGCTCCCCTGTGCAGGAGGTGGGCGCTGTGGTCAGACCCCTCCAGGCTCGAGGGGCGTCCCTGCTGTGCAGCCTGCCCACCCCGTCCTGGGGGCAGCCCCGCCAGTGGGAACAGGGAAACACTTCTGTCTGCAGTTTCGGATCAAGGTGACCTCTGGACGTCACTCCTTCTTGGACATGAGGAAGCACAGACCGCCCGGTATCCCACCTCGGCCTCCTGACCCTGCCCTGCACCCGCCCCTCTGGCAGCTGTGCTGTGGGCTGCACAGGGACCCCGGCCCCCAACCAGCAGACGCTGAGGACCCCGAGTACCCGAGTACCCGCCTCTTGTCAGCAGGAGCAGGTCCCAGCACTCCGCCTCCCAGCCAGGGCCAAGGCTCAGCCTCTGGGAGGAGCTCCGCCCAGTTCCCACCCACAGGGGTGTGCCCTTCAGGACCCAGGAGCACCTCACTGGGCCAGCAGGTTCCTGCCACCCTCGCTGAGGGCAGAAGGGGCTTCCTTCGACAAGGTGTCCCCTGGGGCCACGTCCCACCTCATGGGTGCTGCTAACCAGCCTCCCCTCCTTACTGTCAGGAGAGGGCCCCTCCCCCCGGCCCGACACACGTGGACTCTGCGGTCCCTCCAGGCAGACCCGTCCCGGACTCCCCCGCGGGGCAGAGCAGGCAGCAGTGGCCTGGGGACCAGTACTCGAGGGGCCCGCAGCTGTCGGTGGGACCGGGGTGTGACGGGCTCTGCTGGAAAGTCCGGTGGGTGGGGGCGGTCTCCGTCAGCCGGAACAGAACAGGAGACATTCCCACCCATCCGGACTGCCCACCCGTCCTGTGCCCCGTGCAGTGGAGGGTGGTTCCCTGAGCTCTGCACATGCCTGAGCTGGGTTCCATCGGCGGGACTGCTGCGTGGGTGGGAACCTAGTCCCCTACCGGCTTTGGGATTGGCTCACTTACTCGCGACAGTGCCCCGCCCCGCCCACCAGCGCATAGCCACGCCCCTTGTGCCCACAATGTCCCGAGGCGACGACCGGGATCCCGCTCTGCGTCGGGGCCCGCCGGGGGGCGTTGCGCTCGGCTCCCTCGGAGGGGCGGCGCGCAGTGCCCAGCCCCAGCGTTTTCACCTGAGAGAGGCAGTGGGGCGGCCCTGAGAGCGAGGACGTTTTGTGTATTATTCTTGCAAACGGCAACTCCGGCATCATCAGGAAGGAGAGTAGGCGAGCGGGGAGGCCAGCCTGGAGGAAGGGAGGGAACCGGGGGATGGGAGGGGAGCCCGGGGGAAGGAAAGTTGGTCTGCGGGACCGGAGGGAGGCGAGCCTGGGGGAAGGGAGGAGAACTGGGGGGAAGGGAGGCGAGCCCCGGGGGGTGGGGGACGTAACAGAGCTTCCGCCACAGGTCGGAGGAGCCCCCAGCTGTGTGCCTGTAGGCGGGCACTGAACCTCGCTGAGCCTCAGATTCTGGGAAAGCCCCGTCTGGTCCCTCGGGCCCTGGGCCCTCCGGAGATGCTGCACCTGCTGCTTGTTCGTCACTGAGGCAGACGTGTTGGCGGGGAGGCTGCGGCCGCTCTAACTGGCCTGGGCCCCTGCTCAGAGTTAAGCCCCCCCACTCCCCCCACCCAGTGAGGGGGTCTGTGGGCTGAGGGTCGTTGGGGCAGTGAATAGAATCTTAAAGAAAAATAAAGACATTGTATTTCCAGAGCTTCAAAGATGTTTTCAAAAGATTTTATATATTTATTTTTAGAGAGGGGAAGGGAGGGGAAAAGAGACACAGAGAAACATCAACGTGTGGTTGCCTCTCACACACCCCCCACTGGGGACCTGGCCCACAACCCAGGCATGTGCCCTGAGTGGGAATCGAACGGGTGACCCTTTGGTTCTCAGGCTGGTGCTCAACCCACTGAGCCACAGCAGCCAGGGCTAAAGAATTTTCATTTCAAGAGCAAGTTATAGAATTAGAAGACTTGTGAGGCTAAGTCTTCAAATTGAATATTAAATTTACATCATTGAATTACTAAAGACATTGTTGAAAAGTGCAACGTCAAGGCTGATTTCCCTCCAAACCACATGTCCATAGGTGAATGCAGGTACCACGTCCAAGCAAACATTCACATTTACTAAAAATCTCAGTCCTAGTACTCGTCCACCTAACACAGAAGGCCGCTGAGAATTGTTCCAATTTGTATCACTTTCTAAAATGTTGCCCCGGGATTCCAGCTGCTCCGTGCTGCCTTGTCTGCCGCCGGCGGTTCCCGCACCCAGAACTGCCCCTGGCAGCTCCCAGCGCCAGCCGCCCGCGGGAGCCTTAGCAGAGCAGGCCGGGAAGGTGCTCCTGCCCCGCCCCTCCGCGGGGCCCCCTGGGCCAGCACAGCGCCTCCCGCCGGCGGACCCCAGACACACACCCAGCTGTCTCGGGGCTGCGACCTCAGCCCCAGGACCACCCTGAACCCCGCCGCTGTCCCTCCCTCTCCGCTCAGCGCACAAGGTCTTGCAGCCTCTGGGGAGGACCGACGGGGTGTTGTGGGGGCCAGGGGGGGCTGGGCGAGGAGATGGTTCTCCCAGGATCCTCCAGGGGGAGTGACCTCTCCTTCCAGAAGGTGACAGGCACAGCCCTGGCACAGCAGGGGGGAGCTTTACCCCCTTAATTTCCAAAATCTCTTCCAAGGACGCCCACCCAGGCCCACAGCCTGGGAGAGGAGGGACCCGCAGCTGGTTGCCCAGTGCAAACAGAGCCGGGACATTCTCACTTTTGGGCTGCTCCAGCTGGCAGGGGACACTGAAGAGAGCAGGGGGTCAGGCAGGGAAGCAGCCAGCTCCGTAGGTCCAAGGAGTCGTCACCCAGCGGGGGCGGGGTGGGGTGGGAAGAGGCAGGACCACCCGCCTGGGGGGCAGATGTGGGGAAATCACAGGGAGACGTGGCACCACAGTCCTGATTGAGGCGAAGGTCCCTGTGGCCTGGGTGCTGCCAGCAGACGCCCACTGAGTCTGGGGCGCCCCCTCCCTCCTCCCGCTCAGACCTGTGCCCGCAGACTGACGCACGCACGGTCCACAGAGTGGGCCACGGAAGCAGGCCTGGTGTGTGCCGCGGGGCAGGTGGCGGGGTGTGGTGCATGAACACCCACTTTCCTAAGCCAAGGAATCTCTTTCAAGTTGCTGGGCTCAGGGAGGGAAGAGACGGGGGGACACAGGGCAGAGCTGGGAGGGGGCGGTGTGGCAGCTACGGCCACTGTCATGGCAGCCTGGTGACTCAGTCAGACACTGGGGTGAGAGTCCTGAGCACCGCGAGTGAGAGGCAAAGCCCTCTCTGACCCTCGGGGCTGGGGGGTGGCTCTCCAGTGTCCCCAGGCCATGGCAGGGAGCGCAAGGTTCCTTCTCCGCCACGAGAAGGCCCGGTGGGGTCCGGGATCCCCCACTCACTCCATGCTCCCTTCCCAGACCCCGCAGATGGCAATTCGGCCATTGCGTGGGCCACTTCTGGAATAGTCTGCCCAGACCCACTTCCCAACATTTCCCGCACGTCCTTAGTGTGTCCCTGGAGGCCTCAGAAGACCAGACTGGCAGTCAGGGTCACAAGGCCACGGCCTGCCCAGCCGGAGGCCCCATGGCAGCTAACGCCACTGGCTCTGTCCTTCTGTGACAGGGTGCAGCCAAGGGGGGGGCCCAAATGGGGATCTGGAATGTGGTCCAGAACTCAGGGTGTCCAGGAAATATTAGAAAATAGCATCTATATATAGGATGTCCTCACCCCCCCACACGTCTGAGCTGGGGGGATGGCACCCATGGGGCAGGGCCATGCAGAGCTGTGTTGCACAGAGCAGCTTTGCAGCTGACCTCTGGCGTGGGCATTTAACATGTCTATAACCTTTAACCAGTTTCACAGATATGTTAAATAATGTGGCCAGGCTCTGAGCCAGGGGGATGGAAGTGACTCCCACCCAACATGTAACTGGGAGGCAGCTCCCTCTGGTTACAGCGCCTGCGTGAGAGCCTGGAGGAGCCTGGCTCCACGCCACGGGGCCACGCCTGCCTGGACTCACGATGGCAACCCAGTACAGCTGGGAGGATCCGGGAGTGCTGGCGGGTGTCACTGATTGTGGGGAGTCGGAAATGGGGCTGCAGAGAAAGACTGGTGCTGGGATTGAAACCCAGGCTTTGGGGTGCTGCCTTTTGCCACGTGGCTTAGGAAGCAGGAGAGAATTTCCTGGAAGAAAAGGGGTGAAAGGACTCTTGCTGCTGGGCCATGGGAAGGTGCCGCCTGGTTTGGATTAGCTGGAGATCGCGGCAAGATGAGGCTGATGGTGCCAGACCCCAGGGCTGCCTGAGCCACGGACTTCTACTTCTTCTCCTGAGACGTGGTACCCAGGACTGGGCCCAGGGGGGACTGTGTGCGTCTGTGGGGATTCTAAAGGACTTTGGTATTTGAATGAAGACATTAAGTCATAATTCTTAAGTTTGTACAACTTTGGGAATACATAATTCCTTTCCTTTTCACCAGTCTCGGGCATTGAGATGTCTTTCCCCTGGTGGCGGGCAGGCCTAACCCAGTGGGGCGTCCTTTCCAGAACACTATATTGTTCACCCCACCCCCACCCCCGCCCCATTCTGTAACACTTGCACTGGTCAGCCGGTCAAGGTCCTCGATGCTGCCGTCAGCTCACGGGCCACGGCCCCTCCAGCAGTGACTCCGAGGCTGGGACTGTCCCCAGGTCCTTCCCTGCACCTGACTTGTGCCCTCACACGTGTCCCTGCTGAACGACCCCTCACCTTCCCAGCCTGGCGTGGCCTCAGCTCTCCCGACAGCACCAAGAAGGGCCCTGGGTCCCGCCACCGCAGGGAGCGCAGCTCCGGCAGCCGTCAGAGTTAGCAACCCACACCGGTCCCTGGGTCCTGCAGAGAGGACCCGGCCAGCGAGACCCTGGCTTCGGCTCAGCCAGAGCCACGCGGGCTCCCACCCACAGAGACGCAGGGTGACCGTCGTGGGCTGTGTCAGGTCAGGAAGCGAGCGGTGGGTCATCACAGTGGCAAAGCAACAGCAGCGCGGCGAGGGCTCTGTGAGAACGCCGCGGGGAGGCCAACGGAGACCCCGGGGGGTGAGCCGTGCGGCCTTGGATGCAGAAGCAGCTCCACTGAAGGGTGACCGTTACTGCCACCCACGGCGGGGTACCGGGGGCACACCGGGAACAGTCACAGTGGTGATGATGAGGAAGAGCGGCCTTTCCCCAGGATGCACAGGTGACAGCAACCTCGGGGACCTCAGTGGCGGTCAGCGGTGGGTGTGCCTCTGATGGACGTGGATTCCACTGCGTCAAAGAGATTCCAGTGACTTCCATCTGCGTCTTTGATCCAACACTCCTGCTGCGCTAGGACCTGGAGGGGTGAAGGGGGAGGGCTGGGTCTGCTCTGTGCTCCCAGGTCACGGGGTGCGGTAGAAAGTGGCCGCTGGTCCCTTCTCAGCCCCGGGTGATGGGGTCACCGGGAATTCACCCCCTGGGTCACAGCGTCCTGCAGAGCCAGTGCAGCGGTGGACCGTGGCTCTGACAGTCGACCCTGAAGGATCCCAGTGGGGGTGGCCTTCAGTCACCTGCAGTGCCCTTTACCCTTGGTGCCCTGGGAAGGGACCCTCAGGGCTGCCCGTGACCCTGCCGAATGGGGACCGTCAAGAGCCAAGGGGCAGACGAGAGGAGAGGGAGGGGCGGGGGTCGGACATCTCTGTGCAGCGCTCAATTCCGTGTGAGTTACCTATGACACTTAACGTGGGCCTGCCTCAGTTTCCCACTCTCAGAATCGGGCTATGTCCCAAGGTGGCTGTGAGGGTGAGTGGGTGAGGCTCCCCTCGGGCAGCCGGCACCGGTGCCCTGGAGTCACCTACCGGTGCAGCTAGGGCTGTGGGGAGCCGGCCGAGCCGGCTCAGGACGGCTGATTCGGTCTGCACCCCGGGGTCCTCCTCTCCCATGGGAAAGACCGAGTGCATGTCCGTGAAGCCCTCACTGGGTGTGTTTTTGGTGCGTGTTTTCTCGCTGGCTTGCTTTGCGGTGCAGGAGGCCGCCCTCAGCTGCAGGCAGGGCAGTGAGAAGCAGAGACGCTTCTTCAGTGTGAGGGCCCCCATTGCCACCTGCTGAGCCTGGGACCACCGGGGGCTCCAGGGCGGGGCCAGGCCCTGGGTGAGGCACCGGGGAAGTAACCCCGTTGCTTCCCCGCAGGGCAGACGCACGAAGGAGTGGGCTCCCGAGTCCAAGTCTTTTCAAACAGGCCTCAGAGGCCCGGGAAGGGGGTGCGGGAAGGTGCAGACGTGTGATGCACGGACGGCCTGCAGAAGGGACCTCCCGCACCCGAAGTCCAGGAAACCCCCACGCTCTGGGGGGGGGTCACATTTGTCAGTGTGGTCTGCGGGCCCGTGAGAGCCCGGTGGTCACTCCCAGGATACCGCCCCACTGCCCAGAACCCACTCTCAGGGGCCGTGGTCACCGAGCATGTCCTCTCCACCCGCCCCCTACACACCCCGAGGGGTCAGTGCTCATGAGCCGGGCCTCCTCCAGGCAGCGCCCTCCCAGCGCTGGGACCTGGGAGAGCTCGGTCCCTGGGTCTCGGTGGCCCCGGGGAGCAGGTGTGGTGGGGGCTGTCACAGGCTGCACTGTGTCCCCAAAGATGTGGGCGTCCTAAGCTCAGCAACCGGGAGTGGGGCCTTGTCTGGGAACTGGGTTGCTCTAGACGTGACCTGTCCAGATGAAGCCCTAACGCAACAAGACCGGCGTGCTCTTTTAGGGACACAGACATGCACACAGGGACAACGCCATGAGAGCTTGAACAACTGCCGCCAGGACAGGGAGACAGTAACATTCTGTCCTTTAGGGACAGGCCTGTGGAGCTGCGTCTCCATCACTGGGACACTGAGAGAGGAAGTTAGGGGACGCAGGGCAGCACTGCACACGCCCTGCACGCACATGGCACGTGCGCCACACATGCAGGCGTCCCTGCCGTCACACCCGCCCAGACGCCCCTCACCTGCTCCAGGACGTGGAGGGGGCTGCCGCCCCAGTCTGAACCGGGTCCTTGAAGGCATCTGGGTCTGTAGTGCCTGCTCCTGGGTGGCTACTCCCCCTGCGGACACCACCACCTGCAGCTCAACACTGGCCTCAGAATCCTCAGAGGGCGCCACGGATAAGCCTTGGTGTTCCAGCAGCACCAGTGTGCTGTCCACGCAGCTGTCTGTCGAGCTGTGCTCCATGTCCCTGGGCAGCAGACTCACTCTGGGCCAGGTGCCTCCCTGGGACTGAAGAAGAAAGCCGTGACTTTCGGTGGCAGGGGCCTGCAGCGCAGCCCTCCCCAACCACTTCTGGGAGAAAAGCCACCTCGCCTGGCAGCTCAGCTGGGGCCGTGCGGTAGCAGAGAAAACTACTTCCTGGGGTGAGGTGCACCCTTGGCCCCAACAGGACCGGGTCATCCCAGATGGGGGGCTGTAGTTGAACCCAGCAAGACAGGTCTGCATCCAGACCCCTGGGACCTGGGAATGTGGCCTGGTTGGACACGGGGCCTTTGCAGATGAGGGAGCCGTACTGGACGAGAATGGGTCCCACATCCAGTGCCCACTGAGGGTCATCAGGAGACAGACCCACGGGGAAGAGGCCGGGTGAGGACCGAGGCCGGTGCTGACTGACGGGCACTCACGCCAAGGAGCACCCAGGACAGCTGGCCACCCGAGACGAGATGAGTGCAGGGGTGGGCGGGACCCCACCCCAAGCCTTGGAGGAAGCCAAGCCCCTCCCACCCCTAACTAACACCTGGATCAGATTTGTGGCCTCCACATCCGGGACATGGTCAGTTCTGTCTTTCAGCCCCGAGGTGGGGAGGACGTTTCGCAGCCCCGGGAAGCCGTACAAGCCCCGTGCCCTCTGCGTCCCCCCTGTGCACCCCTAGGTCTAGGCCAGCAGAGCGGGGTCTTCCCCAGCACGGCTGCTCCGGGCTCTAGTAGGGGGAGCGGACGCGGCCCGAAAGGCTGAGCTGCGCACGCTGGGGACGCGCAGGGACGGGGATGGGGGCTTACCGAGCTGGTCCTGCAGCATCTCTGGAAATAAACAGAAAAAGGAAAGTCCTGTCAAGGGGATGCAAAGGAGGATCCGGGGGATGGACCTGGGAGGGGCAGGAGGGGGCGACCTCCTGCAGCTGGGCCTCACCTTGGGCGCTTTCCTGCAGCTGCAGCTCTGCCCGCGCTGCTTCTCTCTCAGCTCCAGCTGCTTTTCTCTCAGCTCGCGCTGCTTCTTTCTCAGCTTCCGCTTTATCTCCTTCTTCTGGGACAGGGCCTGGATCCTCTTCTGCTGTCGGTGCAGCAAGCACCCCACACCCAACAAGAGCCCCACAAGAGACAGCAGGGTCAGTGAGAGCACCACCGTCCAAGGCTGTGTGTCCCTGAAGAAGGCACCTGCGAAGAAGTAGCATCAGTCCCTGAAGGGATCTCTCTGTCCCCAGAGCACCCAGACTCTCACTGTCACACAGTCAGGACGGTTTTCCTGAAATGTCTCCGACCCCATGGGATGAGATGGAGCACGAGGACGCACACACAGTGTCACTGACGTCCCCTCTGCACCCCCCCCAACTGACTATCTGCCCCCCTTCAGTCAGCTGAGTCTGGTGGTGAAGAACAGACTCTGGGGCTGGGGGCCTGGGTTCCAGTCCCGGGTCTCCTGCCCGACCAGCGCTGTGACCTTGAACTAATGACGTAACCGTCTGTTACTGCGTCCTGATCAGTGAGAGCATTCAGTTAGTGCTTATGCAGTGCCTGACGCAGGGTGAGTGCCACGCAGGTTTCATTAAGTTTTGAAAACTAAATATATTTTATTTCATCTTGTTTACAGCGAAATCAGCCCCTATGCGGCTGCTGTGCAAGGTGTCCATCCCGTCCTGTGTCTCAGCGACCTGCCCGCTCCAGCACAGCGAGCAGGCCCGTGTCTCTCCCGCAGGGCAGTGCCCACTGCAAACCCGGTCCCCTCCAGTGGGCACCCCCAGGCTCTGCCCTTTGTCCCGGGGTTCAATGGTTTAAAAATACCCGGTCACAGGAGTCACGTCCCACCGCTGCAGGCTGGCCCGTGGGGTGGTCCCCAGAAGTGGGTTTTGCATCAGTCAGTGAGCAGTTCGGATGCAGACGGCCCTGCGCCCCCACAGCACGGGGGCCGACCCGCACCAACACCATCCAACACCGGGAGCACAGACGGCTACGGGGCTGTCTCCCCACAGCCCGCCACCAGAGGGCGCCCACCCCCTCGTTTGTGCTGCTGCTGCCAAATTCGCAGGGGGAAATAGTTCCCTGTTGCGTCAGATTTGTCATCCTCCTGGGAGTTTTACCTTCCTGGGAACTGATGATTCCTGTTTTTGCTCCTTTATCCACAGTGTTCCTTTATGTTGTAAGGCGATTACCCCTTTCACTGAGATTTGGGTTGTCCCTGTTTCCCCCTCCTGGTGTGTTTGCTGAACTTTCCCATCTGTCCCCACGTCCCACTGCCTGGCACCGTGTGTGGCAGGAAGAGCTCAGAAGGTGTCTGTGACATAAACCTTCTTATGAGTGGCAGGAGCCCCTCATTCCCTTCTTATGAGTGGCAGGAGCCCCTCATTCCCTTCTTATGAGTGGCAGGAGCCCCTCATTCCCTTCTTATGAGTGGCAGGAGCCCCTCATTCCCTTCTTATGAGTGGCAGGAGCCCCTCATTCCCTTCTTATGAGTGGCAGGAGCCCCTCATTCCCTTCTTATGAGTGGCAGGAGCCCCTCATTCCCGCTCTGTGCCCCAAAGGGACCCAGGTCATTAGCAGACCACCACACCTTCCCCCAGGGACCACCCAGGAGCCCAGGGCAGGGGGCAGGGCACTCACCTGGGATGGACAGCCTGGCTGACCTCTCCTGGCCCAGCAGGGCGTTTCTGATGACACAGGAGACTCCCTCCCCAGAGCCGCCTTCCAGGATCACAGAGGCTGAGGCTGCATAAAGGCCCTGGGGGTCTGCAGCCGCAGATGCTGCCTCCGAGGGCAAGCTGTGTCCCCTGGCGTCTCTCCACTGGATCTGGGGCTGCGGGTACCAGCCGGCAGACGTGCACTCCAGACGGATCCCTCCAGCCTCGTAGCCCTTCATGTCAATGTGGGGATCAGAGCCCAGAGCTGGGGAGGAGAAGTGAGCTGAATCGTAGGGAGCCCTCTGTACTGGTGGGGTCTCCTCACCAGGGAGGGGCGCACACACTGACGAGCCCAGCAGGGACTCACCAGGAGCTGCTCCCAGCGTGTGCTGTGCAGCAGAGACTGATCCCCGATGGGGCCACTGCCTGACCCTGGCTGGACCCTCGTGCTGGATCCAGGGGGCTCTGGGCCAGAGCAGAGGCTGCTTCCCCTAAGTCCCCTTAGAGACTGCCGCAGCCTCCCCTCCCCCCTGCCCCAGACAGGCTGGTCCCTGGCAGAGCCACTCTCCCCTCCTTGGACAAGCATGGAGGTGGTGCCTCTTAGCCTAAGTTGGACTCCTGCCAGTGCCCCTCTCAATGCTGCCCGTCCTGTGGGGGCTGTGCCCTCCCATGAGCAGGAGACACACACAGTGTCCGGTGGCCGCCCGAGCAGTGACTCTATGCACGGCCCCTCAGGAGGCTGCTGCTGCCCTCACTGCCAGGCTGCTCGGCTCTCCCTCCAGGGTCTCCCCCCGGAAGTATCCACAGCGAGGCTGTGCAGAGGGGAACCTTTCCCACGGAAGACAGCAGACCCAGGGCCAGAAAGCGGGGAGCTACTGCCACCTGTCCCCCCGCCCCTGAACACACGGAGGGGGAGGCAGCCCTCTGAGGACCTGAACACACAGAGTCCTGCAGGGAGGGCTCCGTCGGGAGAGCCCGGGTCTCCAGGAGGGGACAGCAGGCTGAGGAGGGGCCGTGCGGGGACAAGGCCAGGGGGCCGCACGGTCCCTGCTCCACCAGCCCCCACGCACTGGAAGCCACAGGGCAGGGCTGTGTCCACAGAACTCGAACTGCAGCCCTGACGCCCAGACATGGGCATGTTCGTGGGGCAGCACCTCAGACAAGGTGCTTTGTCACTGGGGTGGGTCAGGGCCACATTAAGGCCACTCAAGGGTGCGGTGACATCTCAGAGGAAACAGGAACCCTGTGCAGTGACCCATCTGCCTGTGCCAGCTGTGGGTGACCAGTGGCACCCCGCAGCATCCTGACCGCGTCCCACCCAGAGCCCAGCGCTGCTTCCACATCTCCCCGAACCGCACCAAGTCCTCCCTGACGCCCCCTCTCTGAGACACCCCAGTGTCCCTGTCCCCAGGGGAACGACCGCCCTCACTGCAGCGAGGACGACACAACCTGTTCAACTGCAGCTGTGTTCCCGGGGGTTTGGCGGGGGACGTGGGCCCCACAGGAGCTGTCGCTACAGGTCAGACCTCTGGACCATGGCCACAGTCTGGATCACACTGAACCCAACACCCATGTGTCACCCGCTGCGGGGAGGTGTCCTCAGCCTTTCCGTCTCCGACCTCCACTCCCCTGAGACTGGGGGGCGGCGTGGGGGACTCTGTACTGGGTGTAGGAGGAAGTCACCCCGGGGGACCCCTGGGTGTCTCACGGGCCTCAGAGGCGCAGAGATGAAGGTGGGGGGGCGGATGCTGGTGAGCAGCCCACGTGCTCTGGGGTAGGTCTGCAGCCTCTGCCCCCGCCCAGGGAAAGGAGCCTGGAACAAGCCTGAGGCTCACCTGCCACCTGCAGCTCCACCTGGGCTTTTGCAGAGAAGCCTCCATCTCGGAAATAACACAGGTAGGTTCCGTTGTCAGAGACGCTGACGCTGCGAATCCGCAGAGCGGCCTTTCCCGCAGTGACGTCCTCTCTTATAATCGAAGTTCTCCCTCGAAACTGCTCTGCCGGCGTGTCCTCCTGCCCGTGTGCGTACACGTGCACTACCTGCCTGCGGCCTGGTTGCACCCACATCAGCTGCAGGGCCTCAGCGCTCATCTTCGGGGACAGGTGACAGGACAGGTCTGCGTCTTCACCCACCATGGCCAGGATGGGCTCGGGGGGTCCGACCACAGCAAACTCAGCTGGTCATCAGAAGGGGGGCTCCGTCAGAGTGAGCAGGCCCAGAGCGCCAGGGGGTGTCCCAGGCAGGAAAGGTGAGGTGACAGACAGCTAGACGGGAACTCAGTCCTAACACAGGTGTGGTGTGGACGGGCCTTGCAGGGGTGGGGAGGGGGTGGAGTCCTGGGTTCTGGCTGGGCCCGAAGGGAAAGGATTCACACACACAGACGCACAGCCAGTCCTACCTGAGCAGAGGCTGAGCAGCAGGACCACGGCGAGGCACACAGGGAGGGCAGGCAGACGGGGCACCAGGCACCTCCCCATGCTGACCTGCTGTGCACAGAGAGAGGCCAGCAGGGGCTGGGCAGCAGGGACCACCTGGAAGGAGGAGGAGGATTCCATGTGGAGAGGCTGCCGGCCCAGGGCCGACCCGGGCACCACCGCCATCACTGGGGACCCGAGAGCCTCCTCTGCAAATGTCCCCTGGGGGTCTCTTCCCCTTGGATTCCTCCATGGAAATCAGCCATGAAACATGGAGCAGTAATGCAGGTACCTTATCCCTCGCCAGCAGGGAGCACTGGGCTCCTGTGGGAACCTACTCAGAAGCCCCCCACTTGCTCACACTTCCCTGCCTCAGCCAGGTGGGCACCCACACCACCCCACTCTGAGGAAGGCAGGCCCCTCTGATCTGAGTCCCCTTTCCCACTGCTGCCCCCTGCAGGCCGCGCTCCGCACAGCAGCCAGCAGTCCTGCCCCATCACCTCCCTCCTGCTCAGCCCCTCCCTTGGGGTCCCCTGTCACCCAGGGCAGAAGCCCAGGGCCTTTGCACCCTGTGCTTTAAATTATGTGACTGTTTTAGGGGATGGTTTGGTTGGGGGGTAGTGGTTTAGGGAAAATGGACAGAACTGTACTTGAACAAAATTAAAATTAATTAATTAATTAATAATAAAAATACTTCAATGATTTAAAGATTAAAAATTTCCAGAGTGGGGGACACATTTCCACAATATTTTGAAGGGTATATACTGTTTTTTATTCCTATCACACACCAACTTAAGATAAAACCTAAAGGAATGAAATTTAAATAACTTAGAATGATAATTACATGTGTTTCACATGAACATCTGTGGATGCATTTGGCCACGTGTACTCAAGGGGCAACTCAAAACCAGAATCTTTTTATCCAAACTGTTTTTATTCTCACACCTTTAGCCTTCGGTCCCCCTCACATGCTCCCCCTCGATGGGGGACACTGGTGGGGACGCCCCTCCACCGCCCTGAACACTCTCTGGACTCGGCGGCTCTGACGCCTCTTAGAGCTTCTGCTGTTTTGTTTCACGTCTTACACGTCCAGATGTTTCTTTCCCTTTGTGGACTCTTTTCATGTGGGAAAGAGAAACAGTTGCGCTGGGTGAGATTGGGGGAGTAGGGAGGGTGGGCACGTGGGATTTGGTCAAAAACTGCTGAACACTCAGCACAGGTGGGCAAGTGGACTGGTAAGTCACCCGTTGTGAAATGAGCCAGTGCTCTGGGAGAGTCTGCAAAAAAAAAAATCAGTAAAGCCCTACGCAGCCTCTCACAACAACGCCAGCTGGTCATGGATGCAGATGGGCTCCTAGAACTTTCTCTCCTAGTGGGGAAGCCTGGACTGCAAGGGCCCACCCTCCAGAAGGTAACTGCTGGTTTGTTTATTTTCTTTTCCTGTTTCTGGTTGGGTCACTCCTTGTATACCAAATACCCTGAAAAAGTTTTATCTGTAGCACCAAAGATTACACTGGCAGGAATTGCTTTTAAAGAGAAACTGGCAATAATACAAAAATTGACATTTAATGCCGTTCATTATAGTAAAATCTGCAAGAGCACTGTGTATAAATTGCATCCAATTTTGTTATAATTTTGAATAAAAACGTGTTATGAAAAACAGAATTCCTTCCCTAGCTTGTGGGGGTCAGTGTACTGAGTGCGGGGTTCGGAAGCAAAGGGTCGCTGGTTTGATTCCAACTCAGGGCACAATCTGGGGGTGTGGGCCAGGTCCTCAGTAGGAGGCGCATACCAGGCAACCACACACGGATATATTTCTCTTCTTCCTTCTCCCTCCCTTTCCCTCTCTAAACAGAAAATAAATCTTAAACAAACAAACAAACGTAATTCCTAGACACACCGTGACACAACACGCAACGGTGAGAAGCTGAAAGCTCCCCCTCTCCGATCAGGAGGGAGACAGACGCCCACCCTCACCACCCCCTGCCCCAGAGCACTGGGAGTCCGAGCAACAGCGCTCACGCGAGACAGAGACAAACAGCAAGCACATCCGGGGGAGAAGGAGCCTTCGCACCGCTCGCAGACGGCAGGACGCGGTACGTAGGACCGTTTGAGGACCCACAAACTCCCATGAGAACGTGGAAATGAAGGCAGTGAGGTCACAGGACACAACGTGGACACCACATGCACTTCCGTGCAGCAGTGACGGGTAACCAGAGGGAGGGTGTCGTCAGCCCCTCCTGCGGTTGCGTCCGACAGCAGAAACCACCCGGGAACAAGGTCAGCCAGAGAGCGGACAGCCTGCGCCCTGACGGCTGGAGGAACCGAGAAAGGAGACGAAGAGGGGACACGCGATGGGGGACACACTGAGCTCAGGGTCGGCAGGAGCAACTCTGTCACATTGTCCTCGCTGCCAAAGCCACGTGCAGACTCAGGCTGTCCTGGTTGAAACGCCGATGGCCTTCTCCTCAGAAGGACAACAAGGAATCCTGAAATGTATTTGTTTCCAATCCCTTGGGGTTTATTCCTCAGTGAGGCAGACACGTCAGGGGGGAGGCTGGGGCCTCTCTACCTGGCCTGACCCCTGCCCCGATTTAAGTCCCCGCCCCCCCCCCCCCAAGTGCAGTCCCCCATCCCAGGGCCGCTGCCCCGGTGGCGAGAGCACTGGGTGGGAAGTTGGCAGAACCCCAACCTCCTCCACAGACTGCGGGGCACCCAGATGTGGGAGGTGAACCTGTTTGTGTTCCTCTCTCGGACAGCGGCCCTGAATCCAGGAGCCTCAGGGGGACCCTTTCACCACAGACACGTGTCATCCTGGGAGACACTCGTCCTGGCCTCTCTGTGACCCTGTGCATCTATGACACCCACACTTGGGGTGATTCCTACCAGCCGGTTGACCTGGGGTGGGCTGCAGGAACCAAGGGGGACCCGAGCCTCCCTGCGCCCACTCACCCTCCTGGCATTCAGCACACGGCAGGGATGCGGGCTCCAGGTGGCGGTGGGCCAAGGAGCACCCAGGCTCGCTCACGCTGCACTGCGTGACACCGTCCAGGTCTCAGACTCTGCACACGTAGGAGCCTGTGAAGGGGGGAGCACAGACGTCCCCTGGTCCCTGCGGCCTCTGCTTGAGGAAGTGCCACAGCACCTGGCGGCCTGTCCCCAGAACAGCATCAACCCTCAGCTCCTGGCCCCTTGGAACCTTCTGAACTGATTCCCGGGTCCATGTGAGGCAGGAGGTAGTCAGGAAGGAAGCTCCCAAGGCCCCGCAGGGCTGAGGTAGAAAACACCTATACATGACAAAGACCCCCTAAGACGGGTTGTTCCTGTTTTCTGGGACAACTCTGAATCATAGAATGCGCCTGCGCGCTACCCCTGATTCATTATAATATCATTATAATGAAATAACATTGTGGGACTCCCTTCTCCAGTAGCCAATCAAGAAAGTCATGGGAAACCACGCATGCGCAGTAGCTTTGAAATCCAACTCCTTGTACCTGCGCAGGAAAAAGCCCGCCAAAGACTAGCAGGGGGCTTCTGCCTCTATAAGAATAGAATCCCCCCAGCCCACGTGCCCTTTTTTTTTCCTCTGCTCAGAGCTGGCTCACTCCCGTGTCCTGTGGTGTGTACTATCACTTAATAAACCTCCCCTCTTTCTTTATGCTATAAACTTTGTGTGTTCGGTTCAATTCTTTGTCCTCGATCACTAAGAACCTGGTTACCTGTGCACACCTGTGCACACCTGTGACAGTTTTTGGCGAGCCAGCTCAGGAGAAGACACCGGAGTGGTAAGCCCCCTTTGCTGCTCTGACACCCGGGATGCCCTTTTCCGTTATCACCTATTCTGTTTCGGTGACTCTGATGTTCCGTGATGGAAGGTCGGCCGCTAATTTGCGGGCACAGGTCGGGCAGTTAAAAGCCACAAGGGCGCCCGCCGCTTGAAGACTCCTGTGATAGGATAACTTGGATGCGGAGCAGGGGTTAGCCTTAGTCCCCGCCAGGTACAAGAAAATGTCCGCACAACGGTCAGGCACACTGTGGAAAGCACAAAACACTGCCCCCACCCCGCGGCCACTCCCCCAGTAGGCATAGTCGGACCTTCCAAGCGGGATATCAGTCACCACCGCACCTGCACTGTGACTTCCCTTTTGCATTCTTTTCATCAGGCCCACGGACAGTCTTTTATGCTTTTCCTCCCCAACTGACTTCTGATCTTTATACCTTCACTCACACCCCCACTTGCCTTTTTATGTATGAAGGGTTCCTGCTGTCTTTGTACTAAGATATCTACCTTGGGGTCATTGTTAGGCTAGCGCTAAGTACAGTTGCAGGAATGAGCCACTCCCATCTTTGCCACGTGTATACTATCATTGTAAGCAGCAACATCGCTCAGAACTGCACAACAGGTACCTGCTGGTCGCTGGTTATTAGAATGGCTGCATAGAGCCACTTTTACCTAATTAATTGAATTTGGAATTCTAAGGTGGTTTACTTGTTTCTATAAGGGTATTTTAATTTTCCCCTCTCAGTTCATTGTCCCTCCATGAGATACGCCTCCAGTATGAAGGGTGGTGATTTAGACATCGCTTAAGGTCCCTTCAGGGAGATTTCAGACGCAGGTACAATTTCTTAAAGCTCTGGAAAATTACATAGAATATTTAAGGGTCTTCTTTGTGATCTGGAAAGGAGTCATTTTATAATAAGGTCATCTTGGTGCTCCTCTTAATGGTTTACAGGGCCAGAAATTATTTTTCTAGTAAGGCACTTCCTTTGCCCCAGATCTTAAAGCTTACAGGAAAATGAGGGTCCCCGTAGATGAAGAATACAGAAATGGAAATGTACTAGGGCCACAAGGGTAGAGTCTGGGATTTTCAGGATTATAGGCAATTGCTCAAGAATGCAGGACTGGTTCCTTCCCAATAGTTAGAGACAAAAGTAGACTGTGGTGATTCTCTCAAGTCTTTTCGATTTCTGTCGGCCGACACTCACTAGGATTTCTTTCGCCAGAGACGTCTGGTAGTTCGGTGGGATCCCAGGGGACGCCCTGTGGCCCACTAGGAAGCTCCTGAGGCAAGAAAAGGGGGACGCCTCTTGATTGCAAGAGAGTATTTTTCTCACTA